CCGTTGTATACGTACGTGGCAAGGGAATTTTGGAAGTTCAGTTTGAAATGAGACAGGAAATAATTAACATGAAGCTGTTTGGAGCGAGGTAATCTTGTAAGCGTATTGTGCATATTGAATGTGAGCTTAGCGAGCGTCTTGAAACTTCCGGAGAAACCGCACGGGGCAGTCTCTTGCGAGAATGTGTTAGTCATTGACTTTGGATACTCGAGTTTTCGTCCTGTAAAATACAAAAGTTTTGTTGCAGATTTCATGTCCAGGTAGCATTTAAGTGTGCTGGTGAGACAACAAAACTTTCTCTTTGTTCGGGAACTGTTTACTTTTTGCGATTGCACTAGAGTAAAATAAATTGGACTTGAATAGCTTGTTCAAAAGGAATAACAAGGGGAAGATTGATAGGGATGACAAATCACAAAACGGTGAATGTTTAAAACAGATGTTTACTAAATCAGTTCTGTTTAGGAACCTAAGAGTGCTCGACTTCTTGATCGAGTGATACCTACTATTTTGTAAAATTGTACAACTATTTTAATTTGTTTTCTAATTTCCTGGGCATTTTTGCACAACCTTAGCAAAATTATGACTTTTAAATGAATAGGCTACTAGCGGTTTTTTTATCACCTCTGTGCTTTAACAGGTTGTATTCTTTGTTAGTGTTTTGTTGTATTTAACAATACAAACGGTTAATGTTACCTTACAATTTTTTTGTTTGAATAACTTTTTACGAAAATGTGTTTTTACTTGAGAATGTGAAAAATACAATTTTTAATTATACTGAAAAGTTATTTTTATAGAGAGAATTATAGTTAAGAAAGCCAAAAAATTAATTTAATATAACGCACGACATACACTTGGAGGGTTAATAGATCGTAATGCACATACAGTATACAGCGTTTGCATTAATCGGACAGAGTGCATCAAACAATCAAAGTGCATCAGATGCAACCGGCTTTGACCCGTGTTGACCGTGATAATCAAATGGCCTGCTTCATTGGTGCACAATGAACAAGTGCCTGCCTCCATCGTACAATATACTTCCGGTCACGTGACAACAGCTAATTTTTGGCGGGAAGAACACAAATCACACTTCCGCTGCTTTGTATTGACCAATTCGATTAGCGCTCGGTTCTGGTCATTCGAAATGTTTGAAGTGGACTTTGATATTTTTAAGGGGTGGATTGTTAATATTTGAAACCCAAGGGACGTCCAGACATACTACTATCTTCAAACTATAAAGCTAAAAACTTTGAGAAAAATATTTCGCTTTATTTTCGAAGTAACAATCCTACACAGGCCAACTTTACACAGCTTTACACAACTTTACAACTTTACGCAGGCCAACCTTTTAGAACTAATGCAACTCAGGTATTGTTGCACAACCGACATAGTTTAATTATTAATCTATTGAACAGCTACAACCGTCATAAAACAGACCGAGGACTCGAGGAGGAAGGCAAAAATAATTACAGAAATAAATGTGGCTTATTTTCATCATATTGAAAGGGGGTAACTCACAGCCTACACTAGTGACTGAAACTGTTGTAAATCAGTTTATCATCCGACTGTGGGAAACCGACCAAGAAACGTACAAAGTAGGCCATAGTGTCCAGTAATACAGTGTAGAACGGTGGCTCATAATCAGCAGCAATAAACACTTTATGGCGCAGACACCGACATTTCACTGTCTATTGTGACGTGATAAACGCCAATGCGTTACGACATTGTAGCGTTACAGTGTTGGTAACACTGAGCGTTGTCGTGGTTTACGCATCACAGAGATGTATATATATATATATATATATATATATATATTTCAAATATATGTATACTCTCTCATACGAGGAACCGTTTTCAAGACTACCATTGGTAACTGTCGGGGTTTGAACTCGTGAACTTGGGGACCGGAGACCAGCGTTCTACCACTAGACCAGCAGGGATTTTAGTGTTGCACCCTTTCCCCTTTCATGGAGTAACTCTATTTGACTCATATTAGATTATAAAAAAAATAGTAGAGTTAGGTCTACCTTATTGGTAAATTTAGAGCAATGATATAAAAAGTAGATGCAGTGCTGCTAAAGATTTTTATTAATTGAAAAGCTTAGTAGTTTCATTCCAGCAATAAAGTAACAAACAATGTGCCAAAAATTGTTGATAAAACTAATTCATAAAATGTGTGAAATCAGTAAATTATCAAAGTATTTGAATTAAATTAGTGCAAAGGTTTATGGAATAAGCCGATGTGGGCAGTGAGCCTGTGCGTAGACTGGGGTTCATGTACAACATTTACTGTTTGAAGAATTAGAATAAAAATATCAAAAATATTCATTTTAAAGTGTCCAAAGCGAGGGGAGCATATGGGAAAGGTTAACTAGCGGGAGTTGTTGAAGAACCAACATTTTAACTGAATACTAATACTGTTTAGGTAGAAAGAAGATAGAAATACTTAGCAATATTTCTTTCATACCATTTTCGTACAACCAGCGAATCCTAAGGCTGCACTAATGCCTCGTTTAGTACAACTAATCAATTTCACATTTCCCAACATAAACTTGCACCGGATGATCACCACAAACCAATCACTGGTTGGTAATAACACTGTTGTTTAGTTGATAATTAAATCTGCTATCAAGACGGTGACTTTAATTTATGTATTAATTGAATGCGCCGAGCTTATAATCATTTTCGACTTACACATTCTCGTTTTAAAACGCGACGACCAAATCGGCTGTAACGTTTTAATTAAACAAATTTTTAATTTCAAGGCGTCGTCGAACGCAGACCGGCGGACTGGTTTATTTATGGACAAACTAAAGGCGAGAGCGTGCGAAAAGAGACGATTAAATTGTGTGACACTTTGTAACAATTTCGATTAAAGATTCTACAGTTTAATTAAAAAATTTTGTTTATTAATTTACTGTACATTCTAAGACATGAAGCTTAGCTGTCTATTATCAAATCCATCTATTTTACATCGTGAACATTATGTATAATTCTATGAGGAAATGCATAAAAAATTGTTAATAGTTTACCCAAATGAAAACTGCAGGAAAATAATAAAAAAGTGTTTTCAATGGTCCAGAAAAAGTGACTTCATAGTATCAGTACAGACAGAGAAGATGTGGGATAAAATTATACTCGCTTTGTACCATGAAAATTTTTTTCTTAGTTTGTAAAATATTTTTGGGAACAGTATTCTATATTTTTCTTTGTTAATGATTCAAATTAAAATGTTATTTCAAAATTTAGTGACTTGTTTAACTTTTTAAGTTGTTTTATAACATTTGAGAAAATTTCTCAAGTTAGTTACCAATTTCCAATATCTAGTAACTATTTATATCCCAACACACATTACAGAATAAAAAACAACAATATTCATGGAACAATTTTATCCTTACTTTAGGAAAATACGCACACTTATTTAAATGAAAAAAATAACTTCTCGACTCTAAGAAAAATATGAAACAATTTGAATTACACTGCGATTATTCCGCATGACACTAACATACAAAACTCTTTGAAGTAAAGAATAAAAGCAGTAATAATGGAAAACACAAAGACGAAAGTGGCCGAGAGGTGCGCGGGGCGAGGCGAGCCGTGAAATTGAATCTCGAATTGTCTTTTCTTGGATTATATTCACAATGACACTTCCAACCCGATTATGTCTCACGCTCTGCAAATTCCTCCACCCCTCTCCCCCTCATCCCTTAACTCACATCCACGCTCACACTCTTGTTTGCGACTTAGACTTTTACGGATTATGACATGTCACGTACACATTCGTTTGAAAACACTTTCGTTTTTGGCTTTAGGCTTATGTGTGGTTGAAAACATCTAGGTATGTAAAAGGAGGATTAAAAATTCGCGTTTTGTTGGGATAATTTTTTTGGTAATATAGTATTGATTTGAGTGTTTGATTTGGGTTTCAACTATGTTTGGAGAGGTTAGAGGTCGATTTAAGAGAAAATGTGTACTGGTTTTGTATAAATGTTTAATGATACAACATGACTCTATTCAGAAACGGAAGCAGTTTAAAATGGCATTGTAGATCGAGAACACAAAAGGGATCTGCTTGATTATCATGTATACAAATCAACCATCATAATCATAAAACATTATTTTAATCTTTCCTTAATGTTGTGTAGCCTTTTATATAAAACTAAGATTTTTAACAGGAACGCCATTTTTTATTTATCTTTTTGTATTCAACGATGCTTTCTTAGATATTCAACATTAGATCTGACCTTGGATGCCAAAATTAATTTTTGTCATAGTTTTACTATTAAATTCCTTAATATTGTGTATGTATTATACCTGCTACCCGCACCAACCTGTGCCACAACACTCAAAACTAATTGCGAACTCCATAAACTAACCTAGTTAACGTTAAACGGTGAAATCCCGAAATTAACCAGATAGATGCAAACTGCTCGACTTACCATGTAAGGTATAAACCTCATTTGACATTACCTTGACCAGGAACACCTTGGGCACGGAAACGCTTCCCAATAAAATTTAATAAGATCGCGCCAGAGAGACCTAAAGCGGAAAATAAACGGCGCCGCGCGTCAAGAAGAGTTCCCCTTGACGAAAAATAACTTTCGCTGTTATTTTTTGATTGTACGTCCCATTTTGTTTCATATTTTTAAAATTGGAAGGGGGAAGCCTACTGCTGATGCGTCCCTCCCCACGCCTTTTAGCCCTCGGATGATATTCAAATTGCTTTCTTCGTCTCGGTGTGTTATTCTCAATCTCCCGACACGCGGTTAGACGTCATACAATTCTCGTTAACCATATGGGGGAGCTTCTTTAATAACGGTGTCGCTTTGATTTTGTCACACAATAACATGGTAATCGGGTGTAAAAACGATTCGGGTTTGCGTCGTTGATGATATTTGTAGCGGGAAATATTCCAATGTAGTACAATAATTGTAAATGACAAGTTAGAACTAAGCTATATTGTTTCAACAATTTTTATCTAAAATCCATTCGGTTTGTTTCAGAATCCCTCGCTCAGGAGCTGGAGTTGGAGAGGAAATCAAGGCAACAACAACAGCAGCAACAGCAACAACAGCAACAACAAGAAGTTGACGTCAAACCGCCACTTCAAGGTGAGGCTGCGTATACAAATCGCATAGACAAAGCTTCGTTGTTAAACTAACAGTTCGTAAAAGATAGACTCGTATAGCACTTTTCTTTCTAATGTTGAAAATAAGGCTTTTTGAGATATAATTAAATATTCTTTTAACCACAATAGGCAGTCTAAATGAGAACTTAACTTTAAACATTATCCAAATTACAAGTGCAAGTAGTATAGAATCTTGGCCTGTACAAGCACCCAAGTTAGTTGCCTATTTTGCTACAAATTAGAATACAACTTATAATTCACTTGTATTTTATTGTACATGTAATTGTAATTTGATAACCCACTTTACGGTCTTGACTAGCTATAAACGTGATAAGCTAGAATAGATTTATTTACTTCACTGAGCAGAGTAGAGTATTCCTATAACCATACTTTCAGTTATTACTTAACCTTGTTAGCTGATATTTTAAGGGATTCTACGAGGTGTTTGTAGGACATTGGTTGTAAAACCAGATGAACAAAAGTATTGCTAATTTTAAAGTGACCACCTTTTATTACTGTCTCATTTGTGTTTCAGATTCGAGGGCAGGCTACTACAAGAACTCCGTGTTGTTCAGTAGTGCCACCTAGATACAGACAAACGTCGAACCCAAGATCTCATAACTCCAATCCACCAGGCGTTTCGAGAACTCGACTATTCTAGTCAAGAATATGAGTAACATTGAGGCGACAAGAACATAAGTGAAACGAGTGAACGAGCGCCGAGTGACAAACAAAGTGACGATCAAGAGTGATTCGAAGCTTAAATTTCAGCTTTGTAGCCATCTTAGATGTTTACTGTGTGTTTAGACAGTTTGTACTTTGTACTCTTTCCACCAACGGCAGCAGTGTCTGTGTAAGAGCCTTACATTCCGAAGGGACTCGAAACTCGAGTGTAAATTAGTCTAATTTATTAAATGTAAAGCTAAGTTGCATGCACTCTCGTCGACCGCATTCTGAAGACCGTAGTTTTCTGGAAGGAGACCGTAGTCGTACCGTTAAGGCTGTATTAGTGATCATGTAGACTTGATAGAATAACAGAACGCTGTTATTGTGTTTATTATCTATTATTATAATTTAGTTTAATGTGTACATAGTCTAATATAGTTAAAGTTATACATTGTTCATTATGTTCTCAACCGCTTAATGTTAAATTATGTGGTTTTACAGTTATGTAACATTTTAAACTACCCTTTGTATAAATACTGACAGTTCGTCGTTATATTTCAATTTGATTGTTTATAGATTTTCGGGCTTAACATGTTTTGTAGAGTTTTAGTGTTTGATTTACAAATTACTATGTACAGTTTTACATATGCTGTCACTACTCTAAAATGAATTTTACGATAATTATTTATTTTAATTTAAATCATAGGTTTATTGTATATTTTATGCAGTGTTATTTCTTCTAAATCACTTGTGAACTATTCGGTTGGTACAGGAAAATTTACTCTAAATACATGGTGTAATACTTGTGAACGGTTTCATATTTCTCGTGCTGTTTGGACTTATTTAAAACCAGGCGCATGTGTTCTTATAAAATTTATTTAACAATTAATTCAACAAATTATTTTTAGATTTATTTTGGTTTGCTGTTTTGAGTGCTAAGTGCAATGGTTTTAAGATTCAACCAATTAGATTCAAAATTTATGTGTAAAAAAATTAAACTCTCAAATAAGTCTACTAAATTTACTGTTGAAAGTAGAAACATGTTACCAGCAATGAACAATATAGGTATCAGAGCGTTTTGTTGCGCTGGATATGAATCAACTGTGAAGCCTGTCATAATATAAAGTACACCATGTAGTTATGTCAAATCCAAACTGTTCTTTAAATTTCGCTCTTTCAATTAATTAAGCTCCAAACAATCTTTCAGTATCAATGTATGGTAAAATGATCTTGTATAAAAATGTGATAATTGTTAAATTTAGTTTAACTATTCTTTTTACTATATATAATACTGTTTGTAAAATTGGTTACGAAGTTTTTTTCACAAGTTTGATTACTTTCTTTACAACTTCAACAAACCAATGCTCTTGTGCTCAAACGATGTTTAAGACCTAGTTTTGTTGATGTCGAACCATTCCAAACGATATTCGTTGTGCTTTGAAAGCTATTTTCATAGAGGTGTAAAATACAATAGCCCCCTTCTCAGTAGCAATGAATGTACATTCAAATGTTTTTCTAAAAAGTCCGAAATCTCTGTACATTGTAAATACTCACTAGCACATAGCCCGACTCTTATGTACATCGATTTTTCACCTATCTATCGAATGTGTCCGCATTTCCACAAAAGAGTTGTCAACAGTTTTTCAACATGTTTGGATATTTTATTTAGGTATGGTTTTCATGAAATTTTATCTCTCTGTACTTAAGCAGATGGCAACTCTTTTGGGTACACGAGGCGCAGCTATGAGTGGCCCCGAAAGTATATGTATCAATAAACCTACCCAATGTATTTAGAATGGTCTTTTTATTTAATCCTCATCTCAAGTCAGTGGTGTTTAAATTATTACATTGCCAAATAAAAATGGATTTATTAAAATGGAAGAACAGTTTTTGTCAACTTTATTTGAGATTAAATCAAAAGAAAACCCATAATCAACTACTATTACTTGCAAACTAATTTCACATTACTCATTCACAAAATATTGATTCGAGTGAAGTCAGTCACATCGATTTTGTTAAGAAATAAAAAATAACTTCTAGTACACTTCAACTGTTGAATACGTATTTTGAAAAATATAAAAATGTTCTAATATGATTTAAACAAGTCCATTTTCTATATACACATAACTAAATCGTATCGTAATTGACATTTTGAGTGAATGCATAATCCAACATCTACATAGTGTATAAAGGGTATTAGGCTTACACTTGATATACACTCAAAATTAAGTTAATGCATCACTTATGGAAGGCTCAAAGAAAGGTGTATTGTGTTAAATAATGTAACAAAATGTGGGAAATGGGGTTTCACTTTTTATTCTAAGAAATTCAATAACATCCAAGAAACAGTTAACTCAATACTAAAAGATACAATAGATGAACACAAAAAAGGATTTATTGCAGCAAATACATAAACGAGTTGTGTTTATGATAAGGTATAGGTAAATGATGTGTAAAAATAAAAAAATGAATAAAAATAAGGTAAATGAAAATAAAAATGCACTTGCATTAAGCTCATCAGTATGTTTGGTAAATGAGTGGAAAAAGAAGGTAGCATATCAGCACAGTACTTCTGGTTGTTTGTGTGAATCTGGATGTAAGCGTATTCATTATACTTAAACCTTTGACTTTCAATACAGTATCCAATAGTCAATGCTTAAACTATACGAAATCTTAGAATATATTACAGTACAACCATCTTAATATTACAGGATATGATATGCTATTTGAAGGATATGATGGGATGGTGGCGTCGTCCTGTAATCCAGCTACTAGGACGTCACGAATTGCGGATATTTATAGGCATGCACTGTGGATGCGATACTCCCTGGTGTGGATTAACGTCCACACTAGTGAGTACTGCGACCATCCTCAGTACTATCCTAACATTTTACCAATTCGTAAATTACAAGGCAAAAATGTGGTTCGGATTCTGCTATAAACTGTAGGTCCCTTAGTTGCCATTGGCTGTATGGGCTATTAATTGACATCCGTGTTTAAGGAACTAGTCGGCCTAGTCACTAACAAGACTACAAGATAGCGCCACTCATTCTACACTCATCTCCATTCATATTTGGCTAAAAATGCCTACTTTGTATGGTCACCATTTCATAAGAAAATACAAAAGTATAAAAAGTAAGACATGTTTAATATAATCTTCAGTGTGAAGGAGGGAAAAAGAACAAAATACCAGAGGTGGTAATTATATGAATATATGATAAAAATAAACCTACTTTAATATTTCAAGGTATTTTGAAAAAAATATTGTATGCACGTCCGTTAAAACGAATAACTTCCCACAAAGTTCTCTGAATTGAGTAATTTTTATTTTTAAGGCAGATAAAGTTTAAGTTATGACTATATAGGGCCTATATACTATATATTGATATTGTTACCACTTTTTTGGAAAGATATTTAGACTGAACTGTTTGTAAGTTATATTTAAATGAGATATTACAATTTAGTTGAAAGTATTCAACTAAGTTTAACTTAGTAGTAACACGTTTTGAACGTTAGCTAAGTCAAAGGTAGTGAAATAAATTATTATGAATGTCACCATTAGATAAATTTGGGGGTTGCTTCATTGACTAAGTAAATTAAAAATAAACTTATGTCTTGGAAACGGTAATGATTTATATCATACGTTTTAATAAACTAAGTTATTATGGGAAGTAGCTCTTGGTGGTTAGTAAATCCTGTAGCAAAAAAAATTTAATATTGAAATAATCGATTGGATGACAAAAAACGTAACGTTATATGAAAATACATCTCAATCGCAGCAATCCTGTTATCCAAGCAAATCACTGGTAGTTTTATATGGTTAAATTCAAACAGATTAAAAATAAAATAATAACAACCCTTACATTCATGTCTGATAAAAAGTAATATTGAATAATGAAAACTTCGGTTTGCTGCAAACAAGAATATAAAAAATGCCGATTAAATGTAGGCTATAAGGTTTTCTTTAAACGTAGATATAAATTTCTCCCATTTTTGAGGAATTTCTATAAGCAATGTACAATATATGTTCTTTTTTATGATAAGACGGGAGAAAAACTATTGGAATTAGCACTCTAAATATCTTGCAAACAAAATTCAAGGCCAGAACAGAGTTCATTTTCCTACTATACAGGGTGTTCATAAAGGGATGTCACAAACTTCGGAGGCTGATAGTACTTATCAATATAAACAAAAAAGTGCATGTAAACATAGGTCGAAAGAACATTCGTTTAACCGCCACCATTTTGTATTTTTAACAAAACAATTTATACCTTAAGAATTATTCAAGCTACGGAAACCAAACTTTGCACATACAGTACATTTATTGTGTCAAGAGGCAATTACGAAAAAATAGATTTTCTTTTAAATAAATAAAATAGCGGCCATTTAAATTCTTTAAATTTAATTACTAAAATATGGCTGATTTTATAAAAAGAAATTCAAGAACATTTTAATTTAGCATTTTAAATTCCCTATCAAGCGATAGCAAGTACAAAAAAAGCAGAAATATAATGATTTTTTTGTTGTAAAAATGAGGCAAACCTGACTAGTTATGTTAAGCCTTATTCTACCCCATTTTACAACTAAAAATCGTTATATTTCAGCAATCTTTTCTTCGATATAGAGTTCGACTAGAGTTCAAACAGGTAACAGGTTGTATTAACAGGTAACTGTCAAACAATAATTATTGCGTATGAGAGAATAACAAAACTGTTTCCTTTCATCTGCCTCATAAAGTACTTATTTCCATACGTATGTTAAAATTAAATAAACATAAAAATTCTTATTTTCATCATCATTTTTCATTCATCATTTTCATCATTTTTATAATCAGCATTTCCAACAGTATGCTTTTTAAAAGAAAATTGCAAACGATCCAATTCCACGGTGAATAGGAGAAAATTAGTAATAATCAATACGCCACTTCCTAGAAAATATTTTGAGATTTTAATTTATCCCTTAACCAATATTTGCTTTGCCCGATTCCAAGAAAAACAAAATATAGCCTGAACACTTCACGAAAAATATTGTCACTGGGCTGCAATAAAAGTAACCCACGAAATGAATAAATAAGGAAGATAAGTTGAAAAATGAATGATGACCTCAGGAAGGTTTGAGGTTTTATTCTTAACAATTTGATATGTAAATTTGGTATGTTTCGGGAAACAATGAATAATATCATCTTATTAGATGAACGAAAACGTTCCATTCCCTATCCATACACAGATCATCTCCCACCATTCTACAACCATCCTTCACTCACATCTGGGTTAAAATACGCACCTAGGTGGCGTACCCATCTCAATAATTAAATTGATAATTGATTAAGTACTGTTTGTTCAAGATATATATAAAATAACTAACAAAATACAACAATGGAAACGATATTTTATTAGATGAGTGAACTAAATTAATTCCTTAAGATCAGAGCAGTCAAAAGTTTGATATGTTACTGTCCGATTTTTTGTAAAAATTATTGCCAAAAGACATTTTGTAAAAATATAAAAACATAGGTAGAAAACTACTCCTTTAAAAAATATTATCACTGCCTACTGTGTTAGAAATAAACCAACGCAACAAACAAAAGTGAAACAAGTTGAAAAACGAGTGACGTAATCAATACGTCCCCGACAGACCGCAGGGGCAGTTTTGAGGTTGTAAATTTCCAAAATACTACCTGAGCCCCGGGGCAAAGGAAGCTGCGGACTGCGGCGTTGAGAAGTGGGCGGCGGCGCAGATGGAAATGGGAGACTCAAAGGTTGTGGTCAAAGTTGTGGTCAGCTGCCCCCATTAACTCTGTCAATTTATAGTCACACGATGTAGTTGTTGATTCATTGACTAATTTTAGCCTATCTTGTAGTAAAATATGCGTAATGGAACTTTCTTTAGCAACAATTGTGCTGTAGATTTTCTGACGACTCAAAAGTAGCGATCGTAGGCCTATTTATATTCGGATTCTCCTATTATGTCTATTTATTCGTAGTTATATGTATTCTATTTTCCATCCCAGTTTAAGAACTTGAATTACATTAGGTTGATATTACTTTTGTCGTTTTAGCCTATATATCTTGAGTAACATTTCGGTAACACAGATACCTAACCTGCACAATAACTACAGGCTACAACAACAAAGTAATATTAATCTAATGCTGTTGTTTCATTGACGAATTATATTATACATTGCATAGTCAAATATTCAAGGTGTCACAATATTAGATTGCTGATTCGATTTCAAATTTTATATTGTGTTGTTTCATTGTCCATTGACTAATTTAGCATACAATCCTACAGTAAAATAATTAATGTGGTAAAATTCTACTTTCCTCTTACCCAGTTACACCCGAATCGTATTCATATATGTATAAACAATTCAACAACTTGGTTGCAAGTACATCTGTTATACAGTCATGATTTACATCCACAGAGCGTGGGGTCTGCCTTATGAAGATCACGAATCAAACCACCTTAAACTTCATAATTCCATCTTGGGTATCCGTTCCTGCATGCATCCACCAACATGACCACATTTCCAATCTTAAGCGTGATTGCGTCAATAGCCATTCGCGATTCTCAACGACACTTTTGATTAATTACAACCCGCGAAATGAGTCATTAAAAGGCGGTGAGCAACAGCGGCATGCCGGCGTATTAATTGTGTACAACCGAGATCAGAGAACGCGGCATAAATATTCAATGGTGATCTGGAAACGATCACAACGAACCTGTCGGTGGATCTGCATAACTGCCGATGAAATCTGAGCGGCCAGCGATGGTT